CGTCTTCTGCACTTTCCTATTGAAGACTGGAACGCGTTTGTCTTGGTCCAAAGTTGGGTGACGTAGGTGGCGTCCAGCAGATGCCGACCACAGCACGCACAGCTCCTGTCAGTGGGCTCCGGACCCCCGGGGAAGCTCCCTGGGGGCCCCCCGGGGCCGCCTGCGGACTCAGCCCAGCTGGGGAGGGGGCAGCCCTCAGTGTGCCCCCCTCCCCGTCCTGCCTGCTTCTCGTGCTTCTGCCCGGGGTCCAGGCAGGTCAGGTCCTGGCACGGCTTGAGCCCACCTGGTATGTGCCGTGTCTTTGGGGGGGGCTCTTTGGTCAGCAGGTGTCCCTGGCCCAGTTGGAGGCCCCGGGCGTGTGCTCCTGCGGAGGCGGGAGCCTGCCGCGGCTTAGAGCCCTGCAGGAAGGGGTTTGGGCCTTGCAGTGGGCTGGAGGTGTGGTGATGGGCGGGCGATAGCTCCGAGGTGGCTCTGGGGTGGCCCGGGGGAGCCTGGCCGGCCCTGTGCCCTGGGAGGCCTGCCCTCCCCTCTGGGTTCAGACCTCCCTGGGCGCTGTCTCCTGGGCTGCTACACACCCCTGCCCCCTTTTCCCTGGAGAGGCCCTGGTCCCGGCACTTGGCTGCCTTTGCCGAGTTCTCTGGGAGAGAGGGTTGCGCTCCGCTTGGGGCAGGGGGCTGTACCTGGGGCCACTGCAGACCCCACCCAGCCAAAGCCCCCGGCACTTCCTGCTTTGTTTGCTGCTGTGAGCACCCCGGAGTCGGGGACCATCTTCCCGTCCCTGCTGCTAAATTTCTCTCCTCCCCCTCCCGCCCCGCCCCGCCCCAGCCCTGTGCACCGGGAACCGTGTGCACCAGGTGGGGCAGGGAGCGAGGACCCTGGGCGTGGCTGGGGCGGAGCCTCTCTCCAGCCTTGTCTGTGGGTACAGTATGGGGGGCAGGCTGGGCCTGGGGGCCCGGGCGGGGGAAGAGGTGTGCAGGACACAGGTGGCTGGACCGGGCAGGACTCACTGGCTGGTCTTGTGGGCACCCGGGCAACTGCCCGGCCCTCCTGGAGCCCCAGACGGCCCTGTGTGTGCTGTGCTTTCTCTGAACCCCGGAGGGCCGGATCCCTCGAAGCCCCTTCCACCCGGGCTCCGCACGCAGCCTCCACGGCCCTGACATGGTGGCGGGCCCTGGAGGTGGAGGGGCTGCACCCGTCACGGAGCCTGCCCCTGCCCCACGTGGGGTTGGGGGTCACCCCAGGCCCGTGGGGTTCATCCGGCACCACCCCCGTGGTGTGTTGTGTTTGCCTGGTCAGTGCCACGCCAGGGTGACCACGGTGCGTGCATCCCCCAGCCCGGCTTGGCACGCTCTGCTCCCCACAAGCTGGCCATCAGCCCGGGGCTGTCCCGGTTGGAAGCAGTGCCCGCCCTCACTGCAGGTGGGCAGGAGCCTGTGTCTCCCCGCCTCCAACCCAAGGCCCCTGCTCTTCCCCTGAAGCTGGCTGCCCCTCCCTCCCTTTCCAGCCTCTCGGCTGGAGGCGCCCCCTGCTGGCCAGACCCCAGCACCTTCAAGGCTGGCGGGCTGGGTAGCGGGATTCTGGTTGACTGGGTGTGGAGACAGGCTCTGTCTGAGGGTGTTTTCTTCTTGGTTTCTCAGTTATCTGCTGCCAGCAGCAGGGGCGGGGCGGGGCTGGGGTCTGTGACTGGGCGTCTTCTGTGGGGTCTGGAAGCAGGTCCTCTGACTCCCCGGGTGCCGGCCGTGTCATTTGGGTTTATCCTGTTGCTGTTTAAGCCAGGGCCGTGTGGGGCCTTGGCCAAAGGTCTCAAAGGCTCTCGGGGGACAGGGGTTTGGCTGGGAAGCCCCTCACATGCACCTGCCAAGAAGCGGGTGTGTCTCCTGGAGCCCAGTGGGCTGCACGTGTGGCTGCTCCCAGAGGTGGGCCTGGGCTCCTGCCCGCGTCACCAAGAACCCCTGCCTGTTAGGGCTTCCTTCCCGGGTGGCCCCGCCTACACCAGGGGTTGACCAAGGCTTGGCCCTATTTTGCTTTGGGGACCTGTGGGGGCTGTAGGGGGGCCTTGGGGACCTGGGGGCCAGCAGACCCTGCAAAGTGGGCAAGTGTCGGTCCCGTGGAGCTTTGGGTGTGGTGGGCAGGGAGGGGGCTCCGCTGGGGGAGGCTGACAGGCCCCGTCTGCCCTCACCGTCCTTGGTGGCCTGGCCAGGGCCCGGGTGGACGCTGCCCCCAGGGCTCTCCTGTGCAGGGCACAACAGCGGTGGAGGAGGCCCCCCTGTCCCTCCCCCCACCCCCCGACGTCTGGGAAGTTTACAGGTTGTGGCACGGATCAGCCCAAAGTCACTGGCGGTGTTGTGTTTATGGTTTTTTTTCTCCTTAATTTTCAGATTTTTTTTTAAACAAAGTATTTTTTTAGGTGCGATAACCCAGGAAGGGCCCATTGGGTGTGTGTGTGTGTCCTGAAACCGCTGCTACCACTCCTCGCTGGCCCACGCGCTGACGGAGGGGGCGGGGCCTGTGTGCGGCGGGAGCAGACCCCGCCCCGCCCCAGGCCGGCGAGGGGAGGGGGCCTGGGCCGGGGCGCTCTGGGCGGGGTCCCCGCAGGAGCAGGGCGGAGCTATGGAAGCGGAGCTCCCCGGAGTCGTGACCCGGAGACTACAGCCGACACAATCACCTTTCGTTTGTACTCTGTGTGTATGTTTTGGTTTTCTGTGTTTTAATAAATCCTTTGGGAAAGGATTGACTCCGTGGTCTTCCGAGCGCCTCGCCGGCTAGGAGTGGGGACAGGGGTGGAGATGTCACTGCCTTGCACCTGGGAGGTTCCCCGGGGGGAGGAGCTGGGGTGGTGCCCCTCCCTCATGCACCCCCAATGTGACAGCGCGTGGTGTCCCCCAGACCTTAACACCTGTCACCATGGGAACAGCAGCTGGCGGGGTCCCCCGAGGGTACAGCAGGGGAGGTGGCCCCGTCCCCTGTGGGCCCTGGGAGGGGCGGGGGCACGTCTGACCACCCAGTGCCGCCTGCTCATGCCCTTTCCCTCCAACCTGCTCCTGGCCATGGGGATCGGGAGCCCCAGTCCTCGGGTCCCCGTGGGTGGGGGTCTTGTCCTCTGCACGCTGTCCCCGGGAGCAGTGCTGACCCCAGGAAATGAAAACAGCGGAAGCGAGAGAGCAACGGGCTTGGGTTTATTGTGTCATTCCGCCGGCGCGGCGCGGCGCGGCGTCTCCGTCTGAGTCTCGCGTGGAAGCTCGAGGCGTCTGGAGGTCTCTGCCTAGTGGGGGTGCAGTGAGCTGGGGGCCGCAGTCGTTAAAAAAGGGGGCAGAGAGCACATTAGTCACACGGCTGGATGAGGACGGGGGAGGGCGCCCGCCCTTCCTCGGGACCTTGGACCTGACCAAGGGGTCGGGATGAGCAATGGTGGGGGCTCTGCGTGGCAGCAGGGTGGGAGACTGCCTCGCCGCCTGCCCGGCCGCCTCCTACGTGGAGCACCCCTGGAGGGGGACTGGCCGGGGCACGCTGGGCTGCGAGGTGAGGGCCACAGGGTGGCTGTGAGGGGAGACCTGGCGTCCCAGGCCCGTGTCCGGCCCTTGGAGAACTGGAGCCGGCTCCTGCCTTTCTGGCTCATCTGTCCTTGGTCCGGTCCCTCCTGGGCCCACTCAGTCCCTCCCCAGCCACCCTGCTGTGAGGTCGGGGGGAGCAGCGCCCCAGCCATGGAGGACGTGGAAGAGAGAGGCGTGTGCAAGTGCCGGCCTGGTGGCTGCCCGGGTGCCTAGACCATGGCTGTGGCTTTCCAGGGGCCCACACGCATCCAACGGGAACTCAGCTTTGCTGGGCGTGGCCCTGGGGGAGCCCCGGCCTCGACCCAGGCACCACCGCATTCCCTGGTCCATCTCCCAATGGGCGGCACCAGGGGCTGGCAGTGTGGAGGCCCAGCCATGCTCCCTGCCAGCGGGGGTGGGCCTTGTGGCCCTTCGAGCCTGCCTGTCCACCACACCACAGGCTGGGCCTCCACTGGGAGGGATGCTGCCCCTCCCCACACCCCCAGGTGGCTTCCAGCGATGCTTGTCACAGGTCTCGGTGGAGACCCGGGGCCTGGTCCATGGGGAGGGGTGAGGGGTCCAGGCTCCCGGATGGGCCCCCAGGTGGAAGGAGTGGAGGAAGCCACGTCCCCCTACCCCTCTCTTCCCCTGCCTCCCCCATCTTTATGGCTTCCGGATGGCCAAGTTCCCAGGCCCCAGTCAGGGCCGGGGCCAGGCAGCAAGCCCAGGGAGGGGCCTTCTCAGAACAGCAGCTTCTACTAAGGGCCAAGCAGGAGCAGGTGTGCCTGGCCCGGGGTGTGCCGTGAGGGCAGCAGCAGGTGTGCCTGGCCCGGGGGTGTGCTGTGAGGGCAGGAGCAGGTGTGCCTGGCCTGGGGGTGTGCCGTGAGGGCCGGAGCAGGTGTGCCTGGCCCGGGGGTGTGCCGTGAGGGCTGGAGGCACAGCTAGCTTAGGGTGCGGCAAATGCTGGGACGACTCGGGACCTCAGGGCTGGGCAAGTCTGCAGGCTTCCTGGCACCACCGTCCCAGCTCCGGTGCACACTCTGCCCTTCCTGCCCCCACCCCGCTCCTGTCTAGGCTGGGGTGCAGGTGTGTCCAGGGGGTGACCAGCACCGGCATCTCTCCAGGGAGACTCCCTGGGCCTTTCCCTACACTGTGGGGCTGCTGCTGGGGGTACAGCAGCATGGAGGACCCCAGGGCCCCTCCCTTACGAGAGGTCCTCCCTGGAGCCCACGCCCAGCACCCCGGCGCACAGTAGAGCCCGGGGTAGGGGGTGTGCGGAGGGTGGTCGCCAACCACGAGCAACTCGGCCTTGTGCGCGTGGGGGCCCTGCCTTCTGCCACTTCCCACCATGTGGTCAGCAGCCTCAGGCCAGCGAAGACTGCCCGGCCTCAGGGCCTTTGGGGGCCCACTCCACCAGGCCCTGCTAAGGGATCTGAGGACCCTCCCAAGCACGCGGGGTCTCCGTGGGTGTGTGGGGAGACGGAGAGAGACGATGTGGCCCTGGGCTGGAAACCAGAGCCCCACACGTGTTGTGGTTCCTGTGCTGCAAGCCAATCACCCTGGGGTCCCTGGCCCCTGCCAGCAAGGGTGGGGTGGGGGCCGAGGGCCGGCTCTATGTGGAGCTGCTAGCGGCAGGGAAGGAGGGGGGAATCTGAGGTCAGGCCCAGCGGAAAGCACCAGGAGCCCTTGGAAAGTGAGGGGTTGTGTGGCCCTGCCCTGCCCCCACGGCCAGGACCCTGGCAGACGCGGCCCCAGGAAGCGCCAGACCCCTGTTTCCAGGTGGGGGCTCTCGGCAGAGGAGAGGCCAGCCTTGCCTGCCCCGAGGACCCCGGCAGGTCTTGGCCTGGCCATGACTTGGGGCGTGTCCGTGAGGGCTGTGGCTGGGAGAGAACTGGGTGGCTTATTCTCAGAGGATGAGCAGAGACGCCAGGTGTGGGTGGGCGCCCTGGACGCCCGCGGATCGGCTGTCTCCCGGCACCGGCCCCACGCGGGCTGGCGGAGCGGTGGTGGTGTCTGCGGTGACTCTGGAGAGTGGTTCCTGATGACGACGTGGCGTGGTGTTTTCTCCGGATGCAAACCACACTCTGCACTTGGCTTCAGGACAGCGTAAGCGAGTGGACAGAGACTAGGAGGGGCACGGACACTGTCCAGCAGGCGGGCGGGCGCCACTTAGGACCTGTAGTCCTTTTTGCTGTAGGGTTTATTGCCCAAAATACTATCGATCTCGTGGATGATGGAAGAGGACAGTTTTGGGAGGACCTGCACGCAAACAGAAAGGCTCTCAGAACCCGCCCCCAGGACCCAGCGGGCAGCTCTTCCCGGCATCCCGCTGGCCTGGCTGGGCTCCACCCTGTCACACCCTGGCCCCACTGGAAGCAGACAGAGTCCACATGGCTTCCTTGTTTCAAAGGTTTGGGGCAGACAGGAAGCACATGTGGGGTTCTATTCTCCCCTTCAAACTCCAGGCAGCTGTAGAACCTTCCAGAAGGGTGGTGATGGTGGCACAACATGCAGATTCCAGGGCCTGACTTCCAACTGCCCTTTCCCAGCTGTCCCCGCCTCAACAGCTGGCAACACCAGCCTTCCAGGTGACAACCCCGGGCCATCGTCAGATGCTTGCTCTCACCCCCCAGTCCCACAGCCCCCCCCCAAGCACCCAGGATCCACCCATGGCTCCCCCCCGGCTCCCCCAGGGGCGATATCACTTCCAACCAGGCCTCTCTTCCCCCAGCCTCCCCACTGAGCTGCCAGAGAGAAGGACCCCTTCAGAAGCCCCGCGGGAGCTGCCCCTCTGCCGCCCAGTCCCGCCGGGCTGCGGCTCACTCAGAAGCAAGACCCCCGGCCTGGGGGCAGGGCAGGCGCTGTCTCACGGGACCTGCCCCACTGCCCTGCTGGGCCTCTAACGCCACTGTCCGTCCTGCCTGGAAGCTTCCGCCTGAGCATTTGCAGGGCTCACTCCGCACCTGTTCAGCACAAGCCCACCCTGCAGCCCCCTCAGAACCGGGGCCTATGGTGCCGCCTCCTCTTGGCCCCAGCGCCCCTAGGGTGCCCCCGCTTTTCCCTCAGAGCCCTCACGCCTTCTCACACCTAATTTCTTGCATTTAGCGCTTATCTCTGCTGGTGCTGGAAGGTACGCTCCTCCAGGGGGCATCTCGGGCGCCTGGAACCAGGCAGGCGGGCGGTCGGTGCTCAGTGACCACGTGCCTGCTCCAGGACTGCCTGGGACCGTGGGCCCCGCCCAGCCGGCCGCCCTGGGCCCTCGAGCCCCGCCCAGCCGGCCGCCCTGGGACCGTGAGCCCCACCCAGCAGGCTGCCCTGGGCCCTCGAGCCCCGCCCAGCAGGCGCCCTGGGCCCTCGAGCCCCGCCCAGCAGGCGCCCTGGGCCCTCGAGCCCCGCCCAGCCGGCCGCCCTGGGCCCTCGAGCCCCGCCCAGCCGGCGCCCTGCTCACCTGTATGGCGCCAATGTTCTCCATGAGCTGCTCTGCGTTGGAAGCACCCAGGAGCACGGAGCTGACGCCTTCGTTCCGCAGGCACCAGGCTGAGGGCGGCAAGACCCGAGGTGAGGCAGGCACGCCCGGTGCAGGGCCCTTCCTGGCTCTGCCCCGCCCTGACGGCGCCAGAGAGAGCTGGATGCTTGGTCTGGGGGTCCCGGGCTCCTGGAAGGCTCAGCAGTGCTAGGTGGGGGCTTTGCTTAAGGAGTGGGTGGTGTTGGGGGAGCCTGGCCCTCCTGCTGCTCCTGGTGCAGAGGTGGCTCAGGCACTCAGGGACCCCTGACCTGGCCCCACGGCCCTGGGCAGGCACTCAGGGACCCCTGACCTGGCCCCACGGCCCTGGGCAGGCACTCAGGGACCCCTGACCTGGCCCCACGGCCCTGGGCAGGCACTCAGGGACCCCTGACCTGGCCCCACGACCCTGGGCAGGCACTCAGGGACCCCTGTCCTGGCCCCACGGCCCTGGGCAGGCACTCAGGGACCCCTGACCTGGCCCCACGGCCCTGGGCAGGCACTCAGGGACCCCTGACCTGGCCCCACGGCCCTGGGCAGGCACTCAGGGACCCCTGACCTGGCCCCACGGCCCTGGGCAGGCACTCAGGGACCCCTGACCTGGCCCTACAGCCCTAGGCAGGCACTCAGGGACCCCTGACCTGGCCCCACGGCCCTGGGCAGGAACTCAGGGACCCCTGACCTGGCCCTACGACCCTGGGCGGGCACTCAGGGACCCCTGACCTGGCCCCATGACCCTGGGCGGGCACTCAGGGACCCCTGACCTGGCCCCATGACCCTGGGCGGGCACTCAGGGACCCCTGACCTGGCCCCATGACCCTGGGCAGGAACTCAGGGACCCCTGACCTGGCCCTATGACCCTGGGCAGGCACTCAGGGACCCCTGACCTGGCCCCATGGCCCTGGGCAGGCAGTCAGGGACTGCTGCCATCACTCCATGGTCATGGGGCCCCAACTCCGCCCTTGCTGGGGAGGCTGTTTAGGGATCCCTCCCTTTCTCCCTAGGGCCCCAGCCCCACCTCCGAGGGCCAGCTCGGGAACACTGGAGCCAGGCCCTCGTGGACCCCCCCCCAGGGACACGAGCCCCCACCCTGGGCCCAGAGCTTGGTTACCGATGGCCAACTGGGGGAGGGTGCAGCCCAGGCGCTCGGCGATGGCCTGCAGCTCCTTCAGCTTGGCCTGCTGGCGCCGGCCCTCCTCGCTCAGGATCTTGTCTTTGAGCCACTGGTAGCCCTGGTGGGCAGGGGCGGGGGGTGGCAGGGTTACAGGTGAGGGAAAACTCCTGGGCCTCTGCCCCCCGCAGCAGCCCTGCCCCAGGCCACGGTGGGTCAGACTCCGCAGTGGGACAAGGATGGACCCCCTCTGAAGGGCACAGCGGGGGGTGGGCTGAGCCAGGACGTGTAGCCTCAGCCTGACTGGTTCTCCCCGGAGGCCTGGAGCCTGGGCTCAGAGGCGTCCTCTCCCCCACCCCTCCCTGGCCACCTCCCATCTCTGTGTCTCCTGGGGCTCTCTGTCCTGGCTGCATGCTTGGGGAGCAGCAGGTGGGACCCCGGGCCGGTCTGCTCTGGCTGGGTGGTTTTTCTCTGTTTGCTCCGTGTCTGCAGTCTGGGGACTCCTGGGGGTGTGTGGGGGGGTGCTTGTCTTGGGGTCACCTCTGAGTGGCTCTGCAGCCCCCAGCCCTGAACCCGGAGGTTTCAGGGGTGGTAGAGAGTGGGGGCCAGTGCATGGCAGCAGGGGGTACCCCGTGTGGCACTGTGAGTGGGGAGTGGGGGTATGAAGGGGCTCCTCACCCGGGGCTGTCCCATGGGGTGGGCGGCTCCTCCAGACACAGGTCAGGACAGAGGGGGCTCTGTCCCTCTCTCGAACCACCCAACCCGACCCCCGTGCACAGAGCTGGGCAGCGGGGCCCAGGTGAGCCAACTGCACCCCAACTGTCCCCTGCCCGCCCCTCCCTCACCTTCAAGGAGGCTCGCGAGTAGGGCGGGATGCCACTGTCGTACTTCCCGGACACGATGCCACAGGCCAGAGGGGACCAGGTCATGGCGCCCACTCCTGAGAGAAGGGAAGCAGGCGGAGTGAAGCCTGGGGCGTGGGCGGGTGGGGGGCGCGGTGGACGGGGCAGGGGGGGCGGGGTGGGGCGCGGTGGACGGGGCAGGTGGGGCGGGGTGGGGCGCGGTGGACGGGGCAGGTGGGGCGGGGCGGGGCGCGGTGGACGGGGCAGGTGGGGCGGGGCGGGGCGCGGTGGACGGGGCAGGGGGGGCGGGGTGGGGCGCGGTGGACGGGGCAGGGGGGGCGGGGCGGGCGGGCAGGCGGGCGGGGCGGGCGCACCTATCTTGTGGAACAGCTCGGGCAGCTGCACCTCCACCTTCTCCCGCTGGAACATGTGGTACTCGGCCTGCTCACAGATGGGCGGGATCAGGTTGAACTGTCGGGCCACGGAGTAGGCCTCCTGTGCACAAGAAGGGGACACAGCGCTGCCGGTCAGCCAGGGTGCCGGAGAGGGGACGGGGGCGCCCCCGCGAGATGCCTGGGGCCCCCTCTACCCCGACACGCACTCTTCCTGGGCATCTAGGAGGCCCCTTTGTGCCAGGAAAAGGGGGCGGCTTGTGGGACCCCAAGGTGAGGGTCTTGGTTAAAGCACAATACTGTACCAGCCTAGGGCTCTGGCACTTACTGGCAAAGCACTCATGCCCTGTGCCTCGGTTTCCAAGGGTGCGAGCCTGCTGCATGCCGGGCACTCAGAGCCACGAGCACCAGCCCGCTTCCAGGACGTGGCCACCTGTCCCTCCCCCACCCCAGAGGGTGTGGCCAGGCAGGAAGGGCTGTTGGCCATGCTGGGAGGTCCCTTCCCTGGGCTTCTGATCCTGGGGCACAGCAGGGGTGGCCCAGTGTGGGCCCCGGGCAGCCTTGGAAGATGCCACGTAAGGGCTCATCCGTGGCACAGATGCCACAGGCGGATTAATGGGGTTGGTTAACTGGAAATGAAACCCGGCGGCACTTCCGTCATGAAGCAGGAGCCCAGCACTCAGCGGAGGCGGCAGCACCGTCGGGAGGCAGGCAGCGTGCGGCGGGCCAGGGCTGGGCCTCAGGGGCCGAGAGCAGGGCGCCGTGCCGACCCTCGGGCTCTGCCGGCTCCCATGCAGGGACTCGACAGTCAGTGGGTGCCTTCTGGGACATGCAGGTGAGGGGAAACCCCGCCAACCAGGAGGGCCGCGTGCTGAGGCCGCCCAGGCCCCGAGCCACGCGTGGGCTGGGTGTCTCAGCCTGAGCCGGGTGACCTCGGGCACGTTTCAGAACTCAAGACACAGGATGACATCAGCACTGCCCCAGAGGGTGCTGGGAGGATGAAAGGGGAGCCGGCCCCCTTGGTGCCTGACATCTGGCATCACAAGGGCCCAGCCCAAGGGGTCCCGGGTGTCGCCACCCTTGAGCACTGGCCCAGCCCCACACCTGTCCTCTCAGAGGGCTCAGAACAGGCCCACCCCGTCTGCACTGCCTGCAGGCGTCACCTCCAGCCCCCACCGGACTGGCACCGCTCTTCCCACCTCGGCACTGGCGCAGCCAGAGCCCCTGCTGGTCCCACACAGCCACGCCGGCACCTACCATGATCTCCATGGAGCTCCAGCGTGAAGTGCCCCAGTACATGGCCATCCCCTGGTTGATGACGTGGGTCATGGCACGCACGGTCTCTGGTGTGAGAGAGCAGAAACCACAGGTGGGGGGTGGCCCGGGCCTGGGGCCCAGCCCCGGGGCGCTCGGCAAACGCGGGCGGCAGGAGCCGGGGGAGGCGGGGCTGCAGCGACGTCTTGCAAGCGGTGTGCTCGGGGGTCCCGGGCTGCGGGGAAGCCGGGGGCGAGCTGCACCCCAGAAGCTGCTTCGCGACAGCCCCTCCCAGTCACAGGCCCGGCGGCACTTTTGCAAAATGGTGCTCGAGCGGCCGTGGCGCTTTGTGGCCCGGATGAGGAAGGGAGGTCGGGGACGTGGTCTGGGACTCCGGCCGGGGTCTCTAGTCTGGGGAAGGATCGGGGGACCAGATCGCTGAGCAAGGACCGGACGGGTGGGTGGGGGTTCCGAGCACACGGGGAGCGTCTGTCTCCTGCTCGGCTGTGCTAGTTCGCCAGGAACCCGGGGCTGCGTGGAGAAGGCACAGTGCACATCCCAGCGCGGGGCTGCAGGAAGCAGACCGGGAGGCCCCGGGCTCTCAAACCAGCCCAGCACCAGGGGATGGTCCCAGGGCAAGCGGGTCTGGGTGCCCCTGCTGGGAGGGGTCGAGGGCTGGAGAGGAGTTCCGAAGCCCACGCCACGAGCTCCGGAGACAATGAGAATCCCAGACAGCGGAGACTCATCACCTCCTGAGGAGTAAGTCTCTGAGACCCCTCGCCAGCCTCGTCAGTCGCAGAAGGGCCCCCCCTGCCAGGGACACAGTGATCCCACCAAGTGGGGAGGGCCTTGGGGCAGCGCTTGACCTCTCTGGGCTACGCCCGCATCCCACGTCGGAGTGCTCCGTTCAGGGCCCGGCTACCCCCTTCCCAGCCAGCTTCCTGCGAAAGTGCACGGGGGCAGCGGGTGTGGCTCAAGCACTTCGTCCCTGTCCCCCACGTGGAAGCCCTGGCTGGAGTCCTGGCTCCTGGCTTGGGCCTGGCCCAGCCCTGGCTGTTGCAGGCATTTAGTGAGTGAACCAGCGACGGATGCTCTCTCTCCATCTGATTCTCTGTCTCTCTCTCTTTCTCAAATACAAATGAAAAAAAAATATATAGAAAAGGGCTTTTGAGGTATAGAAATCTGCAAGCTGCTGTCCCCCCACCCGCCACGGCCCCCCCAGCTGTTGCAGCCTCCCTGGGATGATGTGGCTTTGAAAACAGGACGTGGCTGTGAGCTGTCCCATTTCAAACGGCCCTGGCTGCTCCCTGGCTTCTCTCAGGCCCCGCACAGGGCTCGCAGTCCGCCTGCTGCAGGCAGCAGGTGTTTCTAAGAACAGGGCAGGGCCCTCGGCCCGGGAAAAGCCCCACGCCCCCAGGAGTTGAGCTCCTCTCTGCCGCTGTGATGCCGAAGCTGAGCTCCCTGAAGATGCCGGGGCCGGGGAGACGGAGGCAGGAGGGAGCCGGCTGTGTCCCGACGGCTCCACCTGGGAGTGGTGCAGGACAGCAGGCACCTTCGCTGGCACAGGCGGGCACTGCCGGGTGTCCTGTCCCACCCCTCCTGGGTCCCTGAGCGCCTGTCTGGTTGAATCCACTATGTAGAACCCAGGGCACCCTGGGGACTGGAGCCAAGGGAGTAGGGGCTTCCAGTGTGCTGGTCCCAGCAGGGTCCCCCGGGCTCCTGCACCTGCTGGCCCAGCCCTGTCCCCTCCCTCCATCCAGGGTCAGGCACTGCCCCCTGCCCATGCGTCCCTGTGTGTGTGTTGGGGGGGCTTGGGAGGGGAAGTGGGCCTCCCTGGGGTTCCCTTGTGTGTTTCCTGCCTGAACAGCCAACGCACTGGAGTGAGGAGGAGAGAGGCGCCCGTGGGCAGGTCCGTGGAGCACCCAGAGGAGCCCGGGAGGGTGCTGGCCACATCCTAACCCCTGAGCCCAGGCCCCAGGCCGCACTGCCCTTGTTTTTCGAGACCCCCTTGGGGGCGCCTGTGACTGTGCAGAGCGCCCGGTCAGCCAAGGCTCAAGTCCACATGCCGGAGACAGGGCGGCCAGAGGACCCCAGCGCCAGCCTTGCTCCCTCGCCCTCCCAACCCCGCCCTGTCTGACACAGAAGTCCCCGACCGGCGAAACGGCACAATGCCCCTCCCATGCAGTGACAGAGGGGCCGGCGCGGCGCCGGCCAGGCCAGAGCTCATGTGGCCTCTGCAGTCCTGGGAGGGAGGGGGTCCCTGGAGGCGTGGGGCAGAGGCAGGCGGGGCATGGAGCCAAGGCAGGGAGCACGGCGCGCTACGCTTCTGCCGGGGGGTGTCAGTGGCCCCAGAAGCAGGGACAGTTAGGGACAAGTGTCCTTCATTTCAACTGCCGCTGGAGAGAGGCAGGCGGCAGAAGCCTTCCTGCTGTTGCCAAAGCCCAGGGCGCCTGTGCCCGGTCACAAATAACACACGGGAGGGCTCAGGCGGCGGCACCAGGTGGCCGGCAGGAGCCCTTGCCATGTGGGGCGGAGCCTGAGGCCTGGTCGCAGGGTGGGGCCCGGGGGTCTTGGCCACAGCAGGCAGAGAACAAACATGGCTGGAGGCCGCCTCTGTCTCAGGATTCCACCCGCTCCCGTAAGTGAGTCTTCAAAGGGAGGGGGCTCCGTTTAGACGGAGGCGCCTGGACACTGGTCAGGGCTGGCAGTCCAGCCCCCGAGGGCACGTGAGCGGTGGGCTCTGGAGGGGAGGCTCCGTGGCTGGCGTTGCCTCCAGCGGCGGCTCCAGGGGCCGCGTGTTCTGGGGTCCCTGACAGGTTTGCTCCTCGTCCCATCAGGGTCAAGGCTCCAGGCAGGGGTGGCAGCACCCTTAGAGGGAGAGGAGGCCACCAGGGTCACAGCACGGCAAGCGGGGGTGGGGAGGGGCATGCAGAGGGGGGCGGGAGGGCCGTGGCAGCGTGGGCGGGGCCCCACGGCGCTCTGCTTTCCCTCTCTCGCTCACTCCCGGATGCATTTTATGGAGAAGTTTGTCGAGGGGAGGAGGGCCGTGTAAATAAAACACTGTCTCATAAAATGCAGCTTGGACCCAGAAGTCAGTCGTCGGGCGGGGGACTGTGTACCTTCTATGATGAATGTCCTTGCCTTGGAGGAACTAAATGGGTCCCCTGGTGATAAAAGAAAGATTTAAAGAGACCGGAGTTTGCAGCTGTGGGAACACGAGGCCCGGGGCGCGGGAACACAAATCTCTCAGTGCAGAGAATCCGTTTCGTCTAAGAGAAAACCCGCGTCTACGCTCACGAAGCCAGAGCGGCTCGAACACAACTCCGAGTCCCAGAAGCAGCAAAGCACAGATGAGAAGAGGCCGGCGGCGGGGAAGGGTGGGGGTGGGGGCCTGGGACGAGAGGTGCAAGGAGGAGACGCAGACCACTTCCAACAGGGTGCCGGCTCGCCCCGCCCCCGGCCCGGCCCCCAGCAAAAGACCCGGGGAACCTCGGAACAAGGAGTGCAACAGTTGCAGCCCGAAGCTGCATTTAGCTACCCACAGAGACGCTGAGCTGAGACACCAGGAGGGAGGGCCAGAGTTGGTCAGGTGTGGACCCCCAGGACCGGGAGGTGCAGGGTGCACCTGCTGGGGGGGCGCTTGCCCTGCCCCCACACATGGGGCCTGGCCTCCTCTGAGGCCATTGGCAGTTCACACCCTTGGTGAGCCCAGGGTTGCCCATGGGCGCCTGGGGAGAGCCCCTACCTTCCATGGGCGTGTTGGGGTCCGGGCGGTTGGCAAACACCACGTCCACGTACTCCAGCTGCAGGCGTTCCAGCGATGCCTTCAGTCCTGGGGGCACAGGGTTGGGTGGGGTGTCCGGCTCAGGGCTCAGGAGGTGAGAGAAGGGCCCTGGTGCTGGGTGCTCAAGTGGGGGCACCCTAATGGCAGTGGGGCCCTGCCCTTCAGGAGGGTGTGAGGGGACAGCAGACCCCCCTCTTCTGGGACTGCTCCTTGGCCACCTGCTGGGCAGCCTTGCAAGAGGTGTGGCCTCGTGACCCCACACAGAGGTGAGCCGGGTCTGGAACACAGAAGGCTGATGAGTGGCCGGCGTGTGGCACAGAAGACTAATGCCAGCTGTGCCACTTCTGGTCCAGCTCCCTGCTAATGCACCTGGGAAAGCAGCGGAGGGTGGCCCAAGTGCTTGAGCCCCTGCACCCATATGGGAGACCTGGATGGAGTTCCAGGCTCCTGGCTTTGGCCTGGCCCAGCTGTGGCCACTGTGGTCATTTGGGGAGTGAACCAGTAGATGGAAGATCTCCCTCTCTCTCTGTTTTTCAAACAAATAAACAAATCTTTTAAACCAACTAAAAGCCAGTGACGTTCTCAATGCAGTGACCACCCAGGGGCAGAGTGGTCAGCGGACAGCACCGGCAGCAGGGGTGGGTGGGACAGCTGGGAGAGGCAGAGGGCATAGCATGAGTTGTGGACTGCGCGCTGGGCTGCACACCGACTGCAGGGTCTCCTGGTTCTACCGGAGTCCCAGCAACCCCAAGGCGGCCGCTCTCACTGTCCCCACCTTACAGACACTGTGACAGAGGCCTGGGGAGGCAGAGTGCCTTGCTCAAGGCCACTGGCCAGCGTGGGGCTGAGCCAGGCCTGTGCGTGTCCAGCCACAGAGCCCTCCCTATCCTGCAGAGGGTGGAAGTGGACGGGGAGGGCCAGGCCAGAGTACCAGGTGCGCGGGGCTGGGGCCCCGGCTGCGTGTCTGGGGGCGGCCCTGTGTCGCTTCTCTGTCCCTGCAGGGGCTGGACGCTCCTGGCCGGGGGCCCCGGGGGCCCGAGCGCCTCCTCACCTTCTATGATGTGCTTCCTGGAGAGGCCCCTCTCCGTCTCGGCTCTGAAAGACAGGGGACAGCGTGTGTGATGCCGCGGGCAGTTTGGGGGAAGAGTTTACGGTGCAAGGAAAGAAGGAGGTGCGCGCCGAGTCCACTTTGGGGGAGCGAACGCGAGGCCGCAGGGCTGAGATGCAGGAGGTCTGGGCAGAGGTCTGGACGCTGTCCCTGGGGCAGCTTGGGGGGCACGGTGGGGGGCCGCGGGGAACGGGCTTTTGCTTTTCAATGTTATGTTTCTATTTTCTTTTTTTTAAAGACTGTATCACAGGAAGGGCATTTGGTGCAGTGGCTGATACCGCTTGGGTGGCCTGCGTGCCACACGGAAGCACCGGAGTTTGCTCCTGGGCTCCTGACCCCAGCCTCCTGCTAATGCACCCCCGGGAGGCAGCAGGCGAGGGCTCAAGTACTTGGGTCCCTGCCTTCCTCCTGGGAGGAAGTTCCAGGCTTCTGGCTTCAGCCTGGCCCAACTCCAGCTGTTGTGGACATCTGGGGAGAGAACTAGCGGCTGGGCCATCTCTCTGTGTGTCTGCCTCTCTGTATTTCAAATGAATTACATGAAAGAAGCCCAGAGAGTGAATCCTGGGGTAATTCCTATGAGGCTGAGTTTTGGCCCTGGAGAGCTCGGAGTGGCAGGGGTGCCGAGGCCAGGGGAGGCTACAGGGGGTGGGCAGCACACAGATTTGCTGGTTGCTCCGGAATTTTTACGAAGCTACATTTGGACCCCTTATAAATAAAAGTTAAGTGAGGTTTGTGTGAAGTCCAACACGGCCAAAGCCGCTGCCTGGGGTCCGAGGTCCCTAACCAGGTGGCAGAACGATGCGGGTGGCCCCTGCCCTGCCCGGCACCCCCTCCCTCACCCCGACCACCCCCAGCCCCGCCTCCTAAACCGCAGTCCTGGCAGAAGCTGGGCCATGGCGCAGCTGCACCTACTTCCCGCCCCAGAAGATCTTGGTGGTGATGACGAGGCTGGACCGTCTGCAGGGCAGAAGAGAAGGGGAGGGGGTTACAGGACTGTGCTGACCTCCTGGGGGTCTCCCTTCCCCCCAGCACCCTCAGCTCTCACACAGGGACCCTAGAAGCCCCCTCCCCACCAGGGGGCCCAGGTGTGAAATGGGTCTCTGTCATTCCGTGAGATGTATACCTACATAGAGCCAAACCTGGGGGCCTGGGACTCCCCATGGAGCCAAGCAAGCAGACCCCCTGCTCCCTGCACCTAACCAACTGAGTCACTAGGTGGGGGTGGGGCTTGACTGGGGGGTGTGGCCGGAGACAGGATGAGGAGACAAGGCGAGGGCTCAGGGTGCCCAGGGCATCTGCTCACAGCTGCCTGGAGGGCTCAGGGTGGTGGGAGCCGTGGGAGCAGATTCCTGCCCGCGGTGGGGGCGATGAGGGCCTGCCAGTCCTGCTCCATGGGCCGCGGGAAGATCAGCAGCTGCCCACCTCTGCCAGGGCAGTGTCACCCCCAGGGTGACCGGGGGTGACCTGACAAGGACCTCCGTGGGTCCAGTGGGGGCTGTGCCTGTCACATCCTGGAGTTGTGGACGAGGCGCCTCCGAGTGGAGACTGACCAGGGCAGAGGAGAAACAGCTTTGAGGAGCGGGGGGCAGGGTATGTGGCAGGGTCGGGGGCTGCCGGCACAGCACCGCTGAGGTTCTGAGTGGTGGGGGAGTGGGGACCATGCCTTCTGAAGATGAGGTCTCAGCCTGGGCTTACTGCCGCTTCAATAAGGCTGTAGCTGGCCCTGGGGTTGGCGAGGCCTGGCCTCTGTCCGGGACCGTGGGCCCTATCTGAGAAGGGGGGCCCTCAGCTCCCGACCTGACCTTCGGGGGCTGAGCTGAAGAGCTGCCACTTCCCAGGTGTCCCAACGGGCTGCGTGGGCACCGTGCAGGCTCAGACAGGCCTGCCCGGGGCGGGGGGCCGACTCTCACCCTTCTCAGGCAGGGCCTGTGGGCGGGACAAGGCTGCTGGTCCCAGCCCGACCCCTGGTTCTTTCAGCCCCTCCCCTCCAGGCCCGGCTATACCCAGGCTGCAGGGAGCTCTCACTTCCGGCTCCCTTTGACCGGGGACTTGGCTGCCAGGGACCCTGGCCTTCTGCCTGGCGAGCTCTGTGGGGGATGGGACAGAGGCAGGGGCAAATGGGCGGGGCTGGAGGCCACAGGCCACCTCCACTCCACTTCCTTCCCGGGCATCGCCTCTGCCTCTCAGAGGACGGCCTCACGCTACTCTGGGGACCTCGGGGGGTGGGGGAGCGTCCCCGGTGTGCACAGCCCGTCCCAGCTCCCTGTGGGCAGTGCCTGGGGCTGCCCCCGCCCCGGGACAGTCCTCCTGCCCCACTGGAACAGTTTTGGGGCTTCTAGGAGTCGGCAGGACAGCAGCAGGGGCTGAGCAACCCCGGAAGTCTCATTCTTCCCGCTGCACCCAAACCCAAGGCCTCGCTCCCCAGCCTGGCACCTGAGAGCGCCTCCCCGTGCCTCCTCCACCCCAGCCTCCCCACGCGCCCATGCAGGCGGCAGGGTGGGGGCAGCGCCTCACCTCCAGCCTTTCTTCTTGATGATGTTCCCCAGCACGACTTCAGCCCTGCAGAGTGAGAGGGGGCGACGGGAAGATCAGACCCAGCCCCACCTGGAACCCGGTCCTTGCCCCTCTGTGAGAATGTCCGCTAGCCGTCCACGCCCACCTTGGCTCGGCAGCTCACACCACAGAGGTGAGACATGGGGCTGGCCAGAGCCAGCCGGGGCAGCTACATCAATTCCCCTCCCCCCAACAAGGGTGGCCACGGGCAGGTGTCCCGAGGGCAAGTGTCCCACTGTCAGCAGCGCTGGTTCCAGCTCGCAGCGAAGGAGGGAGCCCTTGTCGTGCCCAGCGGGGCCAGCGTGCCGTCTCCCTGGCCAGCTGGAGAGTCACGTGGGCACAACATCCAGACAAAGATTTTCTTAAAAGGCGGATTATTCATCAGCTACATCCTCTGTTTTCAGAGACGATCCACCGCCCGGCAGTGAGCTCTCCGGCAGAGTGCGTGTGCGTGTGCATGTGTGTCCCTCACTGTCCAACATCAGAGGGGCAGATGCCAGGCCGACCACTGTCTGCTCTGCTTGGCACCATTCTGGCCCTGCGCCAAGTCGAGGCCGGCTGGGGTCCCCGGAGGGCCGCAGGAGCCGCGTGCGCCTGGCACAGCGGTGCTGGCTTAACTTTGAAGGACTTTCTGCTTGTAGCAAAATGTTTCTGAGTAAAAGCAACAGACGGAGAAGATCCGTGCCCAGTGCCCGGGTCCAATTATGAAAGCGCCTGAGTCATGCACTCAGAAATAATGGGCTCTAATTTGCAAGCTGTTTAGCATACATTCCGAAGGCTCCTCTTCACGGTCAGCAGGCACAGGGAACTCACCAGGCCCAGGGAAGGAGGGAGGACGGGAGGGAGGGAATCGGGGCTGACCTTGGGGCCGGCGGAGCCGCAGACAATGAATGAAGCAAAGCCGCGCACAGGGTCCTGGCTGAGGGTTTCTAAGATGTGCATTGTGCAGGGGGCAGAGACACCGCAGCTCTCCCCAGGAGAAGCAAGGCCCTGGCGGGACACGCACTTGGCAGTGAAGGGGCGGCCCTAGCCCGCTGCCCGGGATCCACCTCCCACCCCCTCGTCCAAAGCGTCTTCTGTCTGTCCGGGGACACGGGGCCCCGCTTCCCAGGGAGGGTGGCTGCTGCTGCTGAGGCACTGGCCGGGGGCCAGCAGCAGGGGCAGCTCCAGGCTCTGCAGGGGGGGGGGGGTGCAGGGGCTGGTGGAGGAGCAGAGGACAGCGGCTCCCAGAGCAATGGCGGCCCAAGGGGAGGCTGCTCCCGGAGTCCTGGGCTCTTTAGCAAGTGGCTTCCCAGAGGCCTCCGGGCTGCCCAGGACGTGGCAGCTTGCCCTGGCCTGCTGATCCTCGGTGTTCAGTTCAGTAGGGGGTGGTGGAGCCAGTGGAGGAAACCAGAGCCGGGCTCCCGGGGAGTGGAGCATGCCAGGGGGCTGGGCCATCTGGAGCTGCAGGAGGCTGCGTGGAGCTGCCTCCTACACACTCGTGGGCAGCAGAGCCAGGCACAAGCAGGGCCAGGAAAGAGGGTGGGGCCCGCTGGGATGGCCTTGGGCTTTCCAGCCCCCGAGCCTCCTGCCCAGGCACCTGAAAGCTCCCCACTCTGGTGGGAAGCTCTGCCGGCTTGCAGGTGGCAGGGGTGAGCAGGAGGCTTGGGGATGCCAGCAGAGGCCCTGGGCGATTAGCTCCCCCGGGGCCTGGGTCGGGATTTGAGCAAGGGTCCAGCCGGGTTCCCTGATGCTTGGCGCTCCAGCCCGCTGCAGGAGACAGGTAACCGTCCAGGGCCCCACGAGGCAGGTGCCGGCCCCGCGGCCCAGTGCACAGCAAGCCAGCGCCGCAGCCAGCCTGGCTGACAGGAACTTGGCTCGCCCCAGCAGGAGGGGCAGGAGGGAGGGTGGAGAGAAAGAGCCAGCTAATGACTGCGCAAACAGAAGCTGACTTTTTGAAACCCGATGCAGGAGAGTGGATGATTTGATTACAGTCAGTCTTCAAAACCGAAGCCAGCAGCCCTGGCAGAGGGATGATCTTTTACATAATTGAGTAGAAAGTTCACTGCCAAGATGGGAAGTGCTCCCGTGGCACTGGGGGCCCGAGCCTGCTTCCCGTGGCACTGGGGACCCAAGCCTGCTCCCCGCGGCTCCGGGGACCCGAGCCTGCTCCCCGCGGCACTGGGGGCCCCAGCCTGCTCCCCGTGGCTCCGGGGACCCGAGCCTGCTCCCCGTGGCACTGGGGGCCCGTGCTCCCCGCAGCCCCAGTTGCCCATCAAGAACGTGAAATGCCGGCACTGGGGCTGGCCGCAGGCCTTTGGGGTCACCCTGCTGCTTGGGTACAAAGGGAATTTAGCCAGCGAGGGTGTCCCTGTGTCCCTGTGTCCAGCCCTATGAAAACAACACCTCCCAGTACCATGGAAGGATGGCTTCATGGAGGAGGCAGTGCGGACAGCACTGTTGGGAACGCTTGGGAATGCTAGCGGCAGAAGACTGGAGCTCCAGCTCTCCCCAGAGTCCTCCACCCCCTTTTCCCATGGGAAAGGGACACGTACTTGCCGGCTGCGTAGACTTCTGCGGTATCGAAGAGGTTGATGCCATTGTCGTAGGCCAAGGTCATGAGCTGCTCTGCCATCTGAAACGAGAGAACCGGGCTGATTGCGGCCAGCACTGTCCTGCTAGCCCCAGAGGAGGGCCTGGGGGCCAGAGCAGGACCCGGGGGCCAGAGCAGGACCCAGGGGCTGGAGCAGGACCTGGGGCCCCGGGGGAGGGCCTGGGGGCTGGAGCAGGACATAGGGCCCTGGAGCAGGAAGCTTATGGCCTGGGAGGCCTCCTGCATGCTCAGACCCTGTGCCCAGCGCTGGACACGCTCCTGTCCGGCTCCCTCCCCTCCCTCTCCTGTGATGGAGGCGGCCCTCAGCACCGTGACAAGGAAGGAACATGGGTGAAAAACTTCCTGAGCGCAGGGACGCCATGCCTGGGGCCATCTCAGGGCTGTGCAACCGGCACTGGGTTGACAGTGACTCCCCCCACCCCAATTCATGCCCACCCAGACCTTCTTTGGAAATAGGGTGTTTGTGGTGAAATCAGTCGGGGTCAGGCTGTACAGGAGAGGGTGAGCCCTGAAGCCGAGGTGACAGGTGCCGTGAGCAGAGACACAGATACAACGAGGAGCCTGTGTGTCAAGGGAGGCAGAGCTGGGTGCATGTGCAGGCCAGGGGAGCCCAGTGCTGCCGGCAGCCAAGGGGCTAGGAAGTGGCAGGAGGCAGACCCCACTTCTGAGCCTCGGGAGGGGTGCGGCCCGGCCAGCACCTTGAGTGCAGACTTCCAGCCGCAGGGACTGGGAGAGAACAAACTTTGGCTGTTGGGAGCCACCTAGGCTGCGGCAGCCCCAGGACACCCACCTGGCCCCCACCAAGGGTGTGGCAGGTCTTGGCGGGGTGGGCCATGGCCTCAGCTGTGTTGCGCGGATTCTCCCAGCACCTGCCACCTGGCCAGGCTGCCCACCAGCCTAAACACGCTGCCCACCAGCCTCTGCTCCACGGGCTGCCGGACGGGTGTGCCGGTAGGGCGGGTGACATGCAAGGAGCCAGCCTGCCCTCGAGAGCCCCCCGCCCCTGCAAGCTGCAGCAGAGGAAGAGGGCACCCCCAGCTCTGCCGTCCCCTGGGTGTGGCACTTCTCCAAGCTCTGCTCTGGGCACCTGGCCTCCCTCCCCTGCTAGCCCAGGGCGGGGTGGACAATTCCGAATGACCCCCACCAACCGCAGGACACAAAGCCGGCCGGGCACGGCTTCCCAGGGCTCCTGGCAGCAGGGCAGGAGTGGGTAGCGAGCACGGTGGCCACTGGGGGCGCCACCTGGAAGGAGGGTCCAGGCCCAATAACTCCCTGTGGGAGAGCAGGCTCAGGCCACCAGATGCTGGGATTTTTCAAGGGAAACCAGAAATCCATGCTGTTTCAGGGGCTGGGGGAGGGGAGGGTAAAGTCTCCTGGTTCCCGAACGCTGGCACAGAGCCCAGAACACCCGGGTGCTGTGCGGTCCATGGCTAAGCCCCACTCATGGCTGCTGGGGCAGGGATGGGAGGAGGGCGGTTGGTGGAGCTTTCAGGATCCCCCCCGCCCCCCATAGCTGATGTGCTGCCCACTCTGCTGTAGCACCAGGGGTCAAAGTGGCAAAGGCACAGAGGCCTCGGGGCAGTGGTGCTGCCGGTGCCGGTGCTGAGCCGGTGCCGGTGCCGGTGCCGAGCTCCCCCCCCCCCCAGGCGTTTTTCTTCCTACCCCAGGGCTCTGGCACTGGCTCAACCTCACCAGCATCCTGACCCTTCCTGGGTGCCTCCCACCAGCCAGGCTGAGCGAGGCCCAGGAGGGGCCTCCCCGCCCCTGCCCCACCCTCATCTTTCTGACCTGGAGGGCAGCACGGGCACAGAGCTTTGCTGCTTTCTTGTAACGCACCCCCGAGGCCACGCCCCACCAGCTCCCGGCCACCTCCCCTCTTCCTTCTTTGAATGAAAACCGTGCACGGTGTCGTGAAATACGCATAACCCAGTTCACCATCGTCACCACGGTAAGCGGGCCGCTCTGTGGTGTTCACGGTTGTAGTCCTGGGCAGCCACGGCCACCGTCTGTCTCCACAGCTTCTTCACCGACCCAAACTGAAACTGTGCCCCTTACCCACTCCCCCTCTGGCCCCGGCCCCTGGCAGCCCCCCTGCTGCTTTCTGTCTCTGTGAACTTGGCCAAACCCAGGGCCGTGTTCCAAGGACTCAACGCGTGTGCCTCTCTGGCCGCTGGCGCCTTCCACACTGTGTCCTCCAGACAGCAGCCCATCAGAGACAAAGGGTGACATGAGGGTCTGTCCTCCAGCTGGCTCCGGTGGCCCCCAGTCCAGCCGCCCCAGGGCCTCCTCACTGACTACAGTCTGCACCCCAGGCAGGAGGCCCCTCCGCGTGGCCGCGGCCACCGGCAGCCCCGAGGCCTTCGTCTGTCCCTGCCCGCAGGAAAGCCAGAAGCACCCTCCTTACACCTGGCAGCGCACCTGGCTGGCTACCAGCGAGGAGAACGGGGAGCCAGGAAGCCTTTAGGGCAGTGCCTTCTCGTTTGGTTTCCCGGCGTGAGTTTGGTGATTTCCTCCTGCCGACACCGCACCTCAGGCACTCTGAGTGGTCCCGGGGGCCCAGCTAGAGACTCCGCTGTGCAGGGGCACCCGGCTGACTTAACGGAGCCTCTACCCTGGCACCTTCTGGTTCTCTCCAGGGTCAGAGTCCCAGACGCGGAGGTCAGGAGGAAGTGCAGGGGACAGAGAGGCCACCTCCCTGCCACCCTGGCCCGGGAAGCAAGGAACCATCCTCGCCCGAGTACCGCCCCCCAGAGCTGGGAGCTGGGCCTGGGCTTGCAGGCCGGAGCCCAGGTGGGATCCCCTGGCCCGGTCACCAGGTGTGATTTCTGGCACCTGCTGTGTCTCAAGACAGGAATAACTAGCGCCAGCTCCCCGGTGGACGGGGGATTCAGGGAGAGTCAAGCGGTCAGCTTGCGCTCTTGCTACCTTGCTGCTGTCCAGCCTGCCTGGAACTCAGGCCTCTCGTGGGTTGGTTTCTACAGAGGAGCGGCGTGGGGCAGCAGGGAGGACGGCGAGCGGGACGTGGCTGTGATCTCAGGGCTGCGGACTGGGGGCTGGACGCTGTCCTGCCCTCGGGGCCTCTGCGCAGCACAGTGGGAGGCTGGGGTCATGCTAGCTACACCGGGCAGTTTGCTGCACTCTTGGGCAAGCTTGCATTTGCACCCTGGCCTGGCACACAGCGAGGCCGAGACGGCCCCGTGGATATGGGCTGACGGCCGTGGGGACTCCATTGACTGGGGGGCATCCTTGCTGCCAATGGCCAGATGGTAAATGATTTACGCTGTGCAGGCCAGACGGCCTCTGTCACCACGACTCAGCTCTGCCCAGGTGATGCGCCGGGGAACGGGCACGGCGTCGTGCGGACAGAACTTCACTGACAGAAGCACGCTGCAGAACTCAGACAGGAAGTTGACCAGAGGTTACCACCGGTCGGGCACTTGTGGCTTAAGACTAGAGTCTCGGGGCCGGCGCTGTGGTGTAGTGGGTAAAGCCGCCGCCTGCAGTGCCGGCATCCCTTCTGGGCGCTGGTTCAAGTCCCAGCTAGTGCACTTCCTATCCAGCTCCCTGCTGATGGCCTGGGAAAGCAGCAGAAGGTGGCCCAAGTGCTTGGGCCCCTGCACCCCCGTGGGAGACCTGGAGGAAACTCCTGGCTCCTGATCAGTGCAGCTGTGGCCATCTGGGGAGTGGACCAGCGGGTAGAAGACCTCTCTCTCTCTGCCTCTGCCTCTCTGTAACTCCACCTTTCAGATAAATAAATAAATCTGTAAAAAATAAAAACTAGAGTCTTGGTTTGGGGCGATGAACGTTTTGAAGCTCCGGGTGATGGCTCCATGGCATCATGCCTAAACATGGCTGAAAGGGCAGGGAGCAGGCGTGTGTGTGGCCTGGATAAGACGTCCTGTCCCAGGTCAGGGTGACCGAGTTGGGTCCCAGCTCTGGCTTCTGTCTCAGATTCCTGCTAATGCACACTCTGGGAGGCACTGATGATGGCTCCAGTCCTTGGGCTCCCAGCCTCTGCCCCGACCCAGGCTGGGCTGTTGTGGGTATCTGGGGAGTGAGCCAGTGGAACAAACAAACAAGGACCACTGACATGGTGCTGTGACCAAAGCGGTCGCTTGCAGCATGGGCATCCCGTATCTGAGTGCCGGTTTGAGCCCCGGCTGCTCCGCTCCTGATCCAGCTCCCTGCAGACGATCCTGGGAAGGCAGCAGAAGGTGGCCCAAGTATTTTGGCTCCTGCCACCCATGCAGGAGACCAGGATGAGCTCTGGTCCAGCCTCAGCTGTTGTGGCCATCTGGGGAGTGAGCCATCAGATGGAAGAGCTTGTTCTCTCTCTCTCTCTCTTTTTAAGATTATTTATTTATTTATTTATTTGGCAGGTAGAGTTACAGAGAGAGAGAGAGAGAGGGAGGGAGGGACAGAGAGAAAGGTCTTCCTTCTGTTGGTTCAATCCCCAAATGGCTGCTACAGTTGGTGCGCTGCGCCAATCCAAAGCCAGGAGCCAGGTGCTTCTCTTGGTCTCCCATGGGGTGCAGGGCCCAAGCACCTGGGCCATCCTCCACTGCACTCCTGGGCCACAGCAGAGAGCTGGCCTGGAAGAGGAGCAACCGGGACAGAATCAGGCGCCCCGACCAGGACTAGAAGCCGGTGTGCCGGCGCTGCAAGGCGGAGGATTAGCCTAGTGTGCCATGGCGCCGGCCTCTCTCTCTCTCTTTCTTCCTCTATCACTTCGCCTCTCAAATAAAGAAACAAATAAATCTTTAAAGAAAACTTAAAAACTAACAAACAAACAACGTGGCCAGGGTGGGGAGGAAAAGCCCATATGTTCTCCCTGGGCCTGCAGTCGGCCGCGCCCTGGGACCCGGGGTGCTGGATTTTACTTGGACACCACCTGTAGGACTTAACGCAAGAATTCCTCTTGGTCCTTCGCTCCCCTGCACAGCCTTCCAGAGCCCCGACTCCCTTATCTGTGCCTTCCTCATCTGCCAGCTCGGTGCCATCCAAACATGGCCTCCGACATCGCCAGCTGTGCCTCGGTGTCCCTGATGGAGCCAGCCCGGGCCACCGTCGGTCACTCAAAGGCAGCGGGTGTGCTGGGGGCGGAGTCACCGGAACCTGCCCGTCCGCTTCTCTGCCTTTCCAAGGGACGGCACCCGCCGGGTGACGTCACACCCTCTACGGGATTCTGAGGTAGCACCTGGACAGTAGGGACCTCATCTCGGAGCACCTGGGACTCCCTCTTGAGAACCTCCCCCCCCCCGGCCGTGAGACTCTGGTCTAAAACTATGACCTGAAACACTCAGACAACAGCAGTCCACTGCATCGCACCCGGGGGAGCACAGAACCCCCTAGCGTGATCGCTCAAGCTCAGGAGCGGACAGGCTGCACCGGGTTAGTGACAGGATTGTGACTGTCTGTGTCCCACACGCGATTTAGGCCAATACCTGCATTAATCGCAAGATTACACCCGGAATTGTTAAGGTTATAATTGATATTGGTTTCACATAGACCTTAGGTCAGCCTGACCCTAGGAACCACGCATTCCCCCTCCCCTCCTTGTGGGTTTTGCCTTTATTGACCCTGTGGCTCTGAGCTTCGGGGTCGAGAGTTCTTTAGGGCACAAGCCCGCTCTCCACCGCCGGCAATAAAGGGCTGTCACATTTCATCGTGTGTGGTGCTCGTCTGCTGCACTCGCTCCGGCGCGACACTTCCACGACTCTCGGAGCAGCCATGACGAGGGGAGTGAGGCCGAGCCAGGCACGGGGGCCTAGGGCTCTGAGCTCCGCTCCCAGTGCCCAGAACCAGACTGGTGTGGGCCACGGTGGGTAACTCCCTTCCTTAGAACCTTCCAGTTCACCCTGGGACAGCCCATTTCTGGCAACCTCACAGCACAGGGAACATGAGGGGTCTTCAGAAAATTCATGGGGGCCGGCGCTGTGGCATAGTGGGCTAAGCCTCTGCCTGTGGCACTGGCATCTCATACGGGCACCGGTTCATGTCCCGGCAGCTCCTCTTCCCATCCAGATCTCTGCTTTTGGCCTGGGAAAGCAGTGGAAGATGGTTCCAGTGCTTGGGCCGCTGCACCCACATGGGAGTCTTGGAAGAAGCTCCTGGCTCCTAGCTTTGGCCTGGCCCAGCCCTGGCCAATGTGGCCATTTAGGGAGTGAAGCAGCAGATGGAAGACTCTCTCTCTCTCTCTTTCTACCTCTCTGTAACTCTGCTTCTCAAATAAATAAGTAAAATCTTTCAAAAATGCATGGAAATGGGGCCGGCGCTGTGGCACAGTGGGTTAAAGCCCTGGCTGGAAGCACCTGCATCCCATATGGGTGCCGGTTCTAATCCCAGCTGCTCCTCTTCCGATCCAGCTCTCTGCTATGGCCTGGGAAAGCAGTAGAAGATGGCCCAAGTCCTTGGGTCCCTGTTCCTGCGTGGCAGACCTGGAAGAAGCTCCTGGCTCCTGGCTTCAGATCAGCACAACTCTGGCCATTGTGGCCATCAGGGGAATGAAGCAGTGGATGGAAGACCTCTCTCTCTGTAACTCTGTCTTTCAAATAAATAAATCTAAATCTAAAATGAATCTTGATGTGAATGGAAGGGGAGAGGGAGTGGGAAAGGGGAGGGTTGCGTGTGGGAGGGACGTTATTGGGGGGAAGCCATTGTAATCCATAAGCTGTACTTTGGAAATTTATATTCATTAAATAAAAGTTTAAAAAAAATAAATAAATAAAACTAAATCTTTAAAAAATGCATGGAAAATGTAACATAAAAGTAATGCATGGATTTCAAAAATAAAGGAGCTTTTCATCCCATTTCTATGAACTTCTAGAAGTACTCTCACAGTCCTATCACCAGCTACTGTCACCAAAATAAAAACCAAGAAAACACAAGCCGTGTGCATTTAGATTTCGGCGGAAGCACAGGTTTTCCTTAGAGAACTGCGCAGTCACAGCTAACAGGGTCGTGAACCCGCCCATGTGTGAATTTTCAAGCTCAGCCCTCCCAGCAGGAAGGAGGGCAGATGGGAAAACCCCTTCCCGTGCGGGTGCCTGAGCTCGCCCAGCAACGCCACCGCTCTCGCTGCCAAGCTGTCTCTGTCCAGAAGTGTGCATCCCCCCGGGCCGGGCTGCCCCTCCTCCCTAGAGACCCCGGGACGCCGGCAGCACCCCGACAGCGGCTTCTCTGTGCTGGCCTCTGCGCCCCGACCGTGGAGAGAGACGCCCCGGTGGACACGGAAACATGCGGCCTGGAGTTTGGTAAAACATCAGCCTCCTCGGGTTCTCCCACCGGCAGCAAAACCGCAGAGGCCGCGGCTCCACACGACCCCGGCGGGCACTCACTGCAGGGGCCGCTCAGGCCTGCACCCGCTTTACGGCTGGGAACCGTGTGCCCCCTGAGTGCTCCTGGCTAACGGGGTGGGGGGAGGAGCCACGCGCATGAGGCTCACTGGCTCGCGCAGGGGACCTCGCTGTGTGGCTGGGGTCTGCGTGCAGGGGGTGGTCGGTCACTGCTTACCTCGTCGGTGATCTGGCCTCCAAAGGTCACCCATGTTCCTGGAAGGAGACACACGGGACCGATTTAGGGAACCTGCCAGATTCCCCCATGGGAGGCCTCAGGCTGGTGGGGGAGGGGAAGGGAGCCACAGGCTGCCCTACTGTGCTGTGAGCGTGTGGACACCGGCCTTCAGGGCCAGTCCCTCCCTCCCTCCCTCTCTCTGTTTCGGGGTGACTGTCTCCAGGGCACATAGTGATCTCAGGCCCTGCAGGCAAGGGCCCTCGTGAGTGCTTGCCCAGAGCTGGGGCTGATGCTCCCAGTGAGAGTGGAATGGGGGCGCTCCTTGGCCTCGGGCAAGCTACTTGCTCCTGCCGGGAATGGGGGGGCCTCGGGGTTGTGCACGTGCCCCGTGGAGGGGCCTGCACCTGGTGACAGGGAACGAGGCGAAGTCCCAGAGTCCTTCAGGCCGAGCCCACCCACGGGGGTGCCTCTTCCTGGCAGCCCTGATTTTCTGGGTCAGCGAGGAGGAGGCTGTGTGAGAAATCCGTCCTAGGCCCCCTCCCCGCTTCTTCTGCTAAGGCCTGGCTCTGCCCCTCCCCCTCCCCACCTGGCCCCTGACTGCTGGGCTCCGGGGTAGGGGGGCAGCCAGGGGTCCCCCTCACTCACCAAGCCCCAGGCAGGACACCCGCAGGCCGGACTTGCCCAGATTCCTGAAAAGGAAGAAAAAACACAAGCTTGGTGTGGGTTTCCCCTGACAAGGCCCACCCACCACCGGCCAGATGCGGCCCTGCAAGGCCGCCCCCCCCCCCCCCCAGCTGACACATCGCGAGGCTGTGAGGGAGGCGGGGACTGCTGGAGGGCGGCCTTGCGTGCTGGCCCTGGAGGGGAGCGGAGGCGCTAATGCCCCGGCCCACTGCTGGGGGCAGCTCACGACGTCTGCTTCCTGGGTGGTGACGTGCCGTGTCCCCGGGCGTCCGCCCCTGCTGAATCCCCCCTCTCCTCTGCACACTGCGGGGCTGCCTGCCTCTCCCCGAGGCCCCCGCCTCACCTGGACCCGCAGCCTGGGATCTGTCTCTCACCTCCCTGAGCCGCGGTGTGTGCCGCCAAGAACTCCATCTCAGGTCCCTTCCTACAGCCACGGCAGGGCCGACATCCTAACTGGGCCGGCTGCCCTGGCCCTGCCACTGGTGCCCGCCTGGAGCCCATACAAGTGTCCTTGGGAGGCCACGCAGGGCGGCAGCCCTCTGCTGAGGACTGGCACAGCTGTCCATCCTGAAACAAGCTCCCAGCGTGCTCCTTGCTTGGTGCCGCCACAGTTCCCACGCCTCGGCAGAGCTCTGAGACCTGCCCAGGCAGCGGAGGGGCGGGGGTCCGGGCCCGCCTCCCCACCCCCACCCTGTTCGCTGGCACACGGATGGTCAGGTGGCGAGGTTGACAAGTGGTGGAGGGAGTCACAGCCACAGCCAGGCCCTGCCCCACCTGGGGTCAACTCCCAGCCCTTGTGGATCCTGCTACGGCGTCCGGGGGAGACAGCTGGCCGCTCTGGGCGCCAGCTGGGGTGAGACTTCCTCCCCAAGGCCCCGGGCCTCCACACCCCACTTAACAGGCGCTGTGTCCTCACCATACCCCCTTTCGGCCCAGCCTGGTCCCTGGGAAGGCGGCCTGAGGGCTTGAGGGGGACCCTGAGTGGCCCAGCTCTGACCCTCAGCTGCCTCATCTGCCCTGGGCACAGGACCCAGGTCTGGCTGTCTTGGGGGTCACGGTGGGCGGGTGACACCCGTGAGCAGTCTAAAAGCAGCTGAGTGTGTCATCCGTAGGGAGGGGCGTTTTAAGTGGCCCGGCTTTCTTTTAAGATTTCCCCGGCCACAGGGAGCGCAGGGCTTCTCCTAAGTTCCTAGGGAACTGCCCTATGCCTGGTGCTCCCATCTGCAGAACGAGCTCTGGCCGCCGCCTTTCTCACGGGGGTGCCGTGCGGGTGCGGCGAGGTGAGGCACGCGCCTGGGGTCTCCTTCCCCAGGGGCCAGCACAGGTCACGGAGGGGTGGCTTTTTCTGTCTACAAGAACCAACAAGAGAGAGACCCACGGCTTCACCTGTTCCCATGTTACAGGGCCCAGCATCCTCTTGCGTCCCCCGCGAGCCAGTGACGGAACCTGACAGTCCTCCCTGCACTGCTTGCGTGCTCCAGCCCAGAGGAACGGCGCAGCTGTGTCACTCCCTGTGTAGCACAGCTCAGTCTGATGGCCTGGCTCCCCTCCCCCATGCTAGCCGGAGAGTAACTGGGGAAAAATGGCACCGTGGAGTGGACGGGGGAGGAAGGAAGGACTGACACCTTGACCAGCAGACCTGGACTGCCTCGGGGTCATTGGGAAGCTGACAGAGGCTGCAGATGCCAGTGCCTCAGCGCCTCGCTAGCAATATCCGGGCTTTGCAGGGTCCCCAGCCCCCCAGGCATCTGGCCTAGCACAGTCCCGGTGTCCAGAGGAAGGCTGGCCGCCACTCCCGCAGAACCCCCGACCGAAGTGACCATGGGAAGCCACCCCTGACCGTGCCGTGCCAGAGGCCAGGTTGTGGGCACCTCCTCCTGCACACGTCCCTTTGATGCCGCAGAACCCAACACTGTGACGCGCTGTGCGGTCAGGCTCAGAGCAGCACCAGGAGCAGGCAGGTGAGGTCACGCAGGACGAGGTGACCCCACCTGTGGCTGTGGCTCAGGAGTAGACAGCCCTGGGCTGCTGGCTTGGGGAGGGCTGGCAGGGGCCGCCCTTGCTCCCCGATTCTTAACTGTTCCGGGTCTGAGTGCTGCGACAGGGACACTGCCCAGAATGATCTCTGAGTTTCCTCCGTGGCGTGGCAGGGATCCAGGCCCTGTGGCTCTGCAGTGGCCTCTGCCCACCGCCCACAGGAGAAAGTCAGAGAATCTAGGGCGCCGCGTGATGCTGCGATTGCCCCGCTCAACTTGCCTCCCCGTTGAAGTGACGGTATTGGATCTGCCATCCGCTGCCAGGCCTCGGAGAAGGGACGAGAAGGGACAGGCCACCTCCAGGCTGCGCGCTTTAAAACCACGGCTGCTCTGTGTGGGCAGGAGCGCAAGACATCACAGCCCGGCCTGGGCAGGGGCCGCGGGCGCTCCTAACTTAGGAAACACGGTCTCCTACAGATTCCTCCCCCTAATTAAAACTTGACGTGCAGACGAAATGGCGCAAACCTGAGAGCCCAAACGCGTTGGCCGTCACTAACCCACCTTGTGTCTCCCCTGCACTCTTGCTGGCCCAGGGAGCCAGTCACTGAAGGTTGGCGCTGCAGGCACTGGGGGTCCTAGGCCGGTCCACACAGGGGGGTTTAGGACCTCTCATTTCAGCCACCTGGGACGAGGACTAAAATTTGACCCGTGGGGGCCGGCCACCTCCTGCGATGCTTTGGTCCAAGTCCTGGGTGCTCTGCTTCCAATCCAGCTCCCCGCTAATGCCCTGGGAAGCAGTGGAAGATGGTCCACGTGCTTGGGCCCCTGCCTCCCACATGGGAGGGAGACCTGGATGAAGCTCCTGGCTGCTGCCCAGCTCAGCCCTGGCCACTGTGGCCATCTGGGGAGTGAAAGATGAGAGATCTCTCCCTCTGCCACTTTGCCTTTTAAAGAAGTAAATGAATCTTTAAGAGAAATGTAACCGGTGAAGGGGAAGCCACAGCATCTCGACAGGTGGCCTGGAGGTGTCGGGGAGGCAGGCCGCCTTCCCAGCAGCCTCCTGTGACGGCCTTGCTGGGCTGTAAGGATGCCCCATTCCCTAGGCAGGGCCTGGGCATCTGCATATTCGCCATCCCGGCGGGGCTTGCTGGGGACACGTGTGGGTACAATTCAGGGGAGAGCAGAGACCAAGTGCTCGCTCCTCCCTTGCTCAGGGGACTCACTCCCCCACCCGCCGCCCGCCAAGTGCCTCCTGGGCTCTTCGGCAAGAGCAGGACGGAGCACACACTGTCAGCACCTGCAGGCTGGGTGGCCTCATCCGCAATGTGCCCGGGGCACACACAGGGAAGGGCCAGCTCCCCAGGGAGTTTCAGTCCTGCAGTCCCCACCTACATCCGGGTGGCCCTGGGGCAGCTCGGGGGACAGGGGGTCGCAGGTGTGGCTGCGGGCCGGACTTTCACTTCCAGTTCTGCTTCAGCCACTGTGACCTCACAGGGGTCCCAACACAGGAAGCGCCGTGGCTGGGGTTTACCCCAGGTCCTCGGCCTCCCGGCCATGCCTCTCGCCCGTGTGCATGTGTATGTGGCCGGACACACACATGCGCACACGCACCGCCAACTGAGCGCTTGGTCGGAAGTGGTGTCACTGTGTTCATGCCTTTAACAGTGGCCGCAGAGTAGAGGGAGCAACCTCACTGCCTCTGAGAACCCTGCTCCGGCTCCCACCTCTCCACCCCTGCGACCCCGAAGAGCCTCGGGAACGGAGTGCTCCCTGCACTGCTCTCTTTGGCTCAGAGGGCGGGAACATGAGCTGTTTACCCACCAGGGTCGTTGATGAGACCCAGACCTGCCTCGGACCAGGATGCAGGTGCCGTCGCTCAGCCCTGTCCCGAGGGGACACAGGTTTGGCCTGGCTCGGGTGCTGGGGGACATTCTCGTCACTCTGAATGACTACAACCCTCCGTGGCGTTTCCCGTTTCCTGGAGAGCAAAGCCGTCCCCGCTTCCTCTTTCGGAGCTGGAGCCCTCTCCTAGCGAGGCCGGTGTGGCAGAGGCACCCTCTGCGTCCCCTCCTCCCAACAACGCGACTCTGTGCAGGCTGGGAAAAGCCAGGCCCCCAGACCCTCTGTGCAGAGCTGGGACCCCCCCTCCTTCAGTCCTGGGCCCGGGATGGGAAGCGAGGCTCTGCTGCCGACACTCAGCCTCTTCTCACCTAGAGGACCGAGTGGTGACAGAGGGAGACGAGACCTCCTGGGCTGAGTGGCAGGGAACGCCTGGCATGCTGCCGGGCCGCCCTGTCCCTGCCAGAGTCGTCGACCCGCCTGCCGGGGTGTGGGTCCGGCGGGGGTGAGGACACAGTCCAGCTCATGGCTCACCCGGCCGCTCCCGCCTGTCAAACTGACGCTTATCAGGGCGACTGGCCACAGACAGGAGGCCACCAGGGGCATCTGCTGAGGCCTGTGTGCCCAGGGCAGGGCCCAGCCGATGCCCGGGGGTCCCCAGGAACAGGAGGGTTTGCAGAGTCTGACCAGGATGGCTCTGCTACGGCCAGCGACCCCCAGGGAGGAAGGGAGAGGGGCCAGCATGCAGAGGAACGGGGCTGACCCACGCCTCCGCTTCATTTCCTGCCAGGTCTTCCCGGTGCTGACCGCAGCCCCTCCTGGCCGCTCGGCCTTGGCTGCCCGCGCCTGCCGGGCAGGGGCTCTGCGGCAGGCGGCCCCCGCCCGGCACAGCCACCGCCCCTCCTACCTATGCTTCATCCCGGACTGCTTCACGCTGGGGTCGCCAGCACACGGGAGGCTCTGCACTGACAGCTGTCCCAGGCTCCGGGCCACCATGGCCACGGCGCGGAAGCGGCCGCGGGTGCCCAGGCTGGGGCTGCTGGCCGCCGGCCGGCCCAGCCGCTCCTCGGGGCCCCGGCCCTTGAGGCTGTGCTCAGAGCAGACGAAGGACACCTGCATGCCGAGGCGTCTGCTCCCCGCGGGCGCAGGGGTCAGCGGTCCCCTGAGGCCCTTCTCTTCCCCGGACAGGA